TGCCATTGCGCGTCCACATCAGACACAACCGTTCTATTTCTTTTAAATGTAAGCCTTGCCGGTTTATATAAAGTGTAAGCCTCTTGATCAGCAAGCCAAGCGGCAACCTGCTTTCTGCTTAAAGTTTTACGGTGTCTTTTAGTGGCCTAAAATAAGGGTGTTACACCCCCAAAACTCCCAACTTCTCCGGGAGAGTAATACATTTTCTTTAGCAACCTCACCATGTCTAACCCATCTTGCTTTAAAACAAACGTATACACAAGAGCCCGTTTTTGCTTTTGTTTTTATTTAATACACAAGCGTCTATACACATCTTACTTTTTTAAAAAAAAAGACAAGCTTTTAATGCCGCAGCAAAGTAATATATGGTACAACTATACACATTTATTTAATGTATAAGCAGAGTAATATAGAGAACGGTTATACAAACTTTTTTAAAATTTATTTTACAATACATCTTAATCAATATTTTTTTTTGAGCCTTTAGGGTCAGAAGCTGGCATGTAAGAAGTTTTATAATCCATTTTATGAACCCTGCTACACACAGATCGGCCAATGTTGGCTGCCACCTCCTTTGACAGGTCTACCAGCAAGGCCACCGGGTCAGATGTCTCTGCAACCTCCCTAATCATTTTTACAACTTCGGTTATAGTTTCAGTGGTTATGTTAAGCTTTTTCAGTTTGTAGCCTTCAGCTATAATTATATTTAGAAGCTGGGCCACATTCAGTTTAGAAGAAATATGTCTAATCTGATGAAATACTTCTGAGCGACCCCAAAAGATACAAGGGTGACTAAAAGGGTTGGGCTCATTTACCGCACAGGCTGCACAGTTTTCCAAAAGTTTGTTTTTTCAAACAGTGGTAAATGGCTTTTACTACAACGGCCCTAATAATATCGGCCATAACGTCATCTTCACAGCTCTTCTGGTCACCCTCCTTACTTTTTACAGACTTTTTTTTTAAATCTTGCTTCACGCAAAAACAACAGGTGCATATCACAGTTATTCTGCTCAAAGGCCACCTCTCTTTATCCTCTTCATCCTCTGAAGATGTCTGTCAAAAACAAAGTAAAAATATGTTTTAAATTCTTTGTTGTAAACCTTTAAAAATAAAAAAAACCCTACAGTTTATTCGTGCTACCTCAATCGTACCCTCGTCTGATTCTGAATCATCATCATCCCCGACTGATGCACGGTCAGGCCTCGTGGCACCTTCCTGTTATTAAACACAAACATATAGCCTTGTTTAACCTCCCCTTATATATGTTTATATTTATATTTCTTTTAAGATTTTCTAAGTAACTTTTACCTCATCATGTTCTTTTGGTTCTACAGTTGACAACCGCTCGCTGCACTCACTGTTTGTGTCGTTTGTTTCTGAATCACCACTGGCGGGAGCTCCGTCGATCATCGTTTCGGCAACCTATTATTAAGCACAACCGTATAGTAATATTTAACCAGTGGCTTACATAGATAGATAGATAGATATATTTTTCTTTCAAATAATTTAAGCTGTTTTTACCTCCTCATGTGTTTCTGGTTCTGCATCTGTCGACCACTCGTCACACACCAGGGCAGTAATCTTGTACGGACCCGGCTTGGTTATCTGTCCAAAAAAACAAAAAAATCATTTTTAAGGGCGTAAATGAAATAATATTTAACCACTGATTTTTATAAAACATTTGTAATTTTTCATTAATTTGTTATAAAAAGGGTCTTACCTCTGCCTTCGAGTCAGCTTTCTCCAAATCCGACAACAAATTTTTTCGCACTTTATCCTTTTTCTCTTTTACAAATGGCTGTGGCTCCATAAAGTCTTCCTCTTTCTTCGGTTCAATTTCAGGATGAAACACGGGGTTCCGCAATGGTCCTGCCTCGTTAGCAAAATAAGCGTAAAGAGGCCTTCTCTTCTGAACACGTACTGGTGCACCCAGGGTGCAATTCCAGCTTCTTGGCTTCAGTAGGCATCTTGTACATGGACATGTCTTTGTGTCCAGGCTCCCAGTTTTAAAGGCCCACTCGCAAAAATACGTGTTTTTATACACAGGGCCAAATGCTTATTGGTTGGAGTTTTTCAAATAACCCACCATGCAATAGTTCATTTCTAAAAGGTTCTTGTTTAAAATCTTGGGACTACAGGATTGGTTTAACAAGTGCATTTTGTGACCTAGCTGTAAAACAACCTCTGATTGGTTCACCAAAAGGTGGGGCTAGCTCCCTAGGCTCGTCACCCAGAACAGCTATCATTTCACTATCAACAGTCGCTGGGGTAGGATGTTTCGCTCTGCATGTGTTCAGTAACACAGACTCTCTTACTGCTTTATTTTTTCCTCTCTTTCTATTCTTGAATAACCTGTCTTTACCAGCCTCTCTCCTGACTCAACCTCCAAAAAAACCTTTCTTTCCTTTTTTTCTCTAAACTTTACTCAAACTTTCTTTTTTCATCTTTACACACACAACACTACCCCTACTCCAACACACACACACACAAAATTTTTCAAAATGGCCGATAGTGCCAAACCTTGGCGCCACCAGAAATGGGATGGGAAGGCGGGACATAAGCCCTAAATGGGCCCTAATTGGGCATACAGACCTGTCAAAATTGCATGGTGATGAATGCTATCGAGCCTTATACTACTATGCTGGAAGTGAAAAAAGGACCCCCTCCCACCCAACTCCTCTCGCAGCCCCCCGAAACTATCTTCATCTGGGACATCAATACCGATATGACCACTTACCATTGTGGTTTTGCACCATAGTGCGCCCCCACATTTCTGATTAACCTCAACAGGTCAGTGACAGTATCTTTATAGGGGCGTCTCTTTTCCATATTTTTCAGAACATCTTGATCAATCTGAAAAATGACCCATAAGAGATCGGTCACTCCATGAGGTTCCCATACCATAGAAAATATTCTCCTCCTTCCCTCTCCTTCTTGTCTCCTGGCTACTGAGATCTCCCACACTGGAAACATAGTCACTATCCCATTATTTCTTATATTTTCAACAGAACTGACCCACCTATTTTATAGCTACAGTGATAGTTAAGGCTGTATAATTGTTTCCATCGTAACCCCCTACTGTCAGTCACTCAGAGCTCTCCAAAACTTTTCATGTCTCAGGCTGAAATTTTCCAGGTTCAGTGTCTGTCTGGGGATGAATTGGGCTGTTTTTGTTTTTTCACAAAGTATGAGCTAAAACAATCCAGCTGTTAAGAACATGTAAAAAAAAATTAAGAACCTTCCCTATTATAAACAAAACAACCACCCAGCCTTGCAACCCCTGAGAGCCAAAAGGACTAGATCAAAGAAAGTTGAAATTTAGCTGGGAGAAAATAGACCAATGTAAAGAGAAATATCTCTGGTGACTTGTGGCTTTGTTTCTGCAGTTTGCAGGGCCACCCAGAGGATTCAGGGGGTCTGGGGCAAAGCAATTTCGGGGGCCCCTTCCATAAAAAAAAGTTGCAATACTATAGAATACTATATTCTTGTGGGGGCCCCTGTGGGGCCCAGGGCCTGGGGCAAATTGCCCCACTTGCTCCCCCCTCTGGGCAGCCCTGGCAGTTTGCAGGGTCTTGAAATCACAGTTTGCACATGCACAGTGCTTTGTACAAGTACAGGGTTTTTTTAGCCACTCTTAGCAGAGTTCTAAATGCAGGCATACAGCACTGCACATGTGCATGGCTAGCCTAGATGCACTGTGAGCATGCACAGCTATGTTACCCATTGAGGCCCCAATCCTGCAAGCTCCTTCATGCAGGCAGACCATTATATCTGTACAGAGACTCACTGAAGTATCAGAGGGGGCTACCCACACAGAGCAATTTACACAAAGGCAGCGGCGGCTCCAGGCACCAGCGCTCCAAGTGCGTGCCTGGGGCGGCAAGCCACGGGGGGCGCCCTACCGATCCCTGCGAGGGCAGCAGTCTGGCAGCCTTTGGCGGCATGCCTGCGGGAGGTCCGCCGGTCCCACGGATTTGGCGGTAATTAGGCGGCGGGTACGCTGAAGCCGTTGGACTGGCGGACCTCCTACAGGCACGCCGCCGAAGGCAGCCTGCCTGCCGTGCTTGGGGCGGCAAAAAAGCTAGAGCCACCCCTGCACAAAGGCCTCAGTGAGTGTACTTTTACTGCACACCAAAAGTATTCATTCCAACAGGTAGGGCTCCACAGAACCTTTTGCTTTACTGACTAAGGTGCACAGTCACTGCACACCTGATACAGAGAATTCTGGTGGATCCAATCCGTTCTAAGTTATGGAATTTTTTTTTCCTTTCAAGCCATAGGAATCCCATCAAAAGTCAGGAAGTGCCACAGTTAAGACTGTATATGCAACCTTAACTCCCCTTACACATAATGCATAGTATTCAGGACCAAATTCATGTAACAGAGTTCAGAATTTGGCTCAGAGACTCTAATTATGTTATATACTATTTCTCAAATAATACAACACAACACAGGTTTTTTCCCCTAGAACCTTGAAAGGCGCATCTTGTAAGATGTGCAGTGAGGGCTTGATCCCTGACACCTATGGAAAGGCTCCCATTGACGTCTACGGGCATTGGATCAGGCCCTGTGGAGCCCATTCACTACATATCTTCAGGTATGTACAAGGGGGACGAGTTAGCGGAACAATGGTTTTATGGTTAAAGCACTGGAGTGGGACTCAGGAGATCTGGCTCTGGATTCAAGTTTCCAGCAGACTCCCTGTGTGACAGACTCCCTCTGAATTTCTCTGTGCCTCCATTCTCCATTTGTAAAATGAAAATTATACTTTCTTTCTCCCACCTTCTCTCTCGTCTATTTAGATTGTGAGTTCCTGAGGGCAGGGATTATCTCTTACTATATGTTCACGCAGCACCTAAGATGATGGGGCCTTGATCTTGGTACGTGCTGCTAGGTACTACTTTAATACAAAAATAAATAATAATTAGCATTACATGTGTAACCTTAATTTTGTCATTTCCTGATTTCTGAGTGCTTAAGTGTGCAACCTGCATGATAGGATGTGGGGGAGGGGATTTGGAATGAAAAAACGGCAAAAAAATATACTTGAAAAGGTACAAAACTGATGAAGTTTTCAGATATTTAAAATATGAAATGGCAATATAGGAAAAAACAATGCATTTTCTTAAGAAGAAAATATCTAAAGTATATTTTAAATATCAAACGTATATTAGCAATTTGGCAAACCAATTCAGATTCCATTTTGTACAGGAATCCACTGATAATGAAGTTATTTAGTATCAGTGCACTGGAAAAATATGAATATTGGATGATGCCTTGATTATGTGTCATAATTCTGCCAAATCCCTTGGTTGGCCATTAGCTGCTTTTGATCACTAAATCAAATAGGCTTTGGCAAGAGGGCCTCCATTTCACTTTGCAATGGACAGGTTGAGTAATAAAAAGCATTTATGGATCCTTCAGCCTTGCCACCAGCAACAGGTATCCTGTCTTTGAAGACACGGTGGACACAGAACATGAGCAGACTGAGAAAAGGTTGAATACAGGCAGTAGTCCAACCAACCATCAAGCAGAAAGGACTATGATGACACTACCAAGAAGAGAGAAAAGGAAATTAATCTTGATCCACAGTAAGGAATCTGGGCTGAGACATCTGTGGCCCACATACAGAAAACCTTAGGGCCTATAAGTCTTCAGGGACACCTTTCCTAGTACAAGCTGCCTATTGTTATTTATTTTATGATTTAAATGCCAGCAGCGTGCTGGGTGCTGTATAAGACACTAACTGACAACGGTCCTAGCCCTGGAACATTTGCACTATACAACAAAGATACAGAGAAAACAGGACACAGTGGGAAGCCTATTTGGAGGATTATTCTTAATATATAATTAGCTGATTAAAGCTTACCTTCCTAGTCCACTGGTGGAAGTGCTTCTCAGTTGTTGCCTTATTGCAATTCAAAGCTTTCACAATCTGGCTCCCAGCATTGTATTTTTCGATGTCTGGATTATTCCCAACATCCACAAGAAACTCAAACCTGCTGTGGAATTGAAAGAGAGGAAGGGATGGCCTTCAAGAATGTGTACCTGCTATAGAGTTGAAGGTGAGTCAGGGTCGTCATGGCACATTTATTATCCCAGAGTGGGGAGGTTTTGGCAGGAGCATTGCATCTTTTGTATCTATTGTTTGAGATCTTAGAACTATTGTTAATGACACTTACCTCTCACAGGTCCAGAAAAAGGGGTGGTGGATCAAGTCTCCTAACTGAACTGAGTTTCCTCCATGGGGGGAGACCAAACTTCTTATGAGATCTTCAATCTCCAAGTGACCCTGCAAATCTGTTGGACATCTTGCAGACACATTCTCTCCATCAGGTCCATCAAAAGGGACCTCACCCCTTGTTACAACATATAGGACCAACCTCCCAAGTGCCTGAGCAGGAGAACAAGCATCAGAATATTTCACTTCCAGAGCCGAAACCTCCAGCAGAGAGAACATACAGGGTTTGCTCCTGCTCCCCTTGAGTCCAGAAGGAGCAGAACTGAGCCCATAATCTGCAAAGTTTCAGTTATATATTCATCCTATGGGCCAAATTCTCTTTGTTCTGCTATTCTCAAAAAACAGCAGGTACAGGATCTTTACCAAAAATAGATATATGAATTGATAATATCTCCCACTTAACACGATCCCTTAAAAGAAGCTGTTTTGATACTGAAATCAAGGTTGTTGGGCTTTTAAAAAAAATGCTGCATGTAAAATAATGGAATCCGTGGATCAAGGTTAAGGTTGTTGTGTTGTAATGAAATATATATTTCTTTAGACTAAGAAAGAATAACATGCTTACGTTTATTACATGGCTGTAAGATGTTATGATGTTTTAACTATTCATTTCCTTGCTGTTAAAGGTTTGGGTTTTGTAAATGATGTGGTAGTTAAATAAATTGTTGATACTTAGCAACCTGCACTGTTTTTTTAAATGAAATGTTTTTTTCTCTTTGGGAGTTGGATGAACAATTGAACCAGTGGATGAACTGCTTTGCCTCTGCTGTATTCCCATAGGCCTAAATCCTGCAAAGGTTAACGCGTCTGCTTAACTTCACACACAGTGAGTGATGCCACTGAAGTCAATTGGATTGGGGCCTAAGGCCTATTTTAGGTATGTTACCCTCCCTTTATTGTGCATGTAATATAAGGAAATGACTTGTCCTTCAACAGTTTTTATTTATCTTTTCTCAGTGGGTAGGTTGCAACCCCAGGGAGTCATGAAAGTGGGGAAAATACCCTTTTCTATTAAAAATTCCATTTTCCTAGGAGCTATGTCAACTTCTTATGATCTACTGCAAGAAGCTGACCAGCTCCTGGTCAAATTGCCTATATGCTGCATTGTGCTGTAGGTGTCATGACCATTGTATTTTTATATCAAGTTTAAAATAAACTGAAAGCAAGATACATAGAAAAGACTATGGGCCAGATTGTCTCCATCTGTGTGTAAAGCAAAGGGACAGAACTTTGGTTTGTAAAATTTTCACATACGTTGTTTCACTGATGGAGTTCCGTTTCATCTCCTACCCCACAGGCAAAGCAACTTCCTAACAATAGATCTGGCACTTGGCAGCCCCCTTTCTCCAAAGCTCCTTGCCTGCGCATCTCCAATGGACTAGTATAGCAATGAAAACAGTATAGGTAGAAAAGAAGTAGATCTAGCCAGGGAGAGTTGGCTCTGTCTAAAGAATAGATTGCAGTGCCACAACAGGACTGCAACCCTTTGTTTTCTTGGCTGTTTCTGACACATCATTATATTAGCATGTCGAAATTACAGTATCAAGTAGGTCCCTTATCAGAAGTGACGGAATAATCCACTATTTCTATCACATGCACCTGCAATTTGTATTTTTTTTTAGCAGCATTGGAATGTCCAAAAAATCAAGCCATCTGATTGGCTGATGCCAAATTGATTTCCTATCAACAATACTCACATGCGTCTGACTTAGTGGGTATTCTCCCACGAAAGCTTTTGCTCCAATATATCTGTTAGTCTATAAGGTGCTACAGGACTCTTTGTTGCTTTGAACAATACTCTGACCTTCTGCATTGTCTATTTCTATGTTTGATTCTGCAGAGACCAACAACTGTATTGTTATGTTGGGGGTTGGGTTAACCACTGCCCTTCCTTCAATATAAATGTAAGAAATAATCAAGCTCCTTTATGGAATAGATAGCTGAAACAATAGACGCCACCACTCAAAACACCAGCCATGCAGATCAGGTCAGAAACTGAGCTACATGGGAAGAGAGGTTTTGAGGTATATTGTTTGTTGGAGATGGACTTGTGGCGGGGGGGCAGAAATGCACAGAGGCAGACAGAGAAGGCAACAAAGGCACAGCCAAAGAGGCGCTTGCAGCCTGATGCTGACAAAAGCTAAGAGACAGCACTTTTGGGTAGAGTGCTGGCTGGGCAAAAGGCTTGGGACTGTGAGCAAAGAAACTGTCGCCTGCTGTTTGATTTCTTTTGTGTTCAGGGAAACTGGACTTTATGTGCATTCTTTGTAAATAAGCAGGATTGCATCAAAGAAATACCTGGCTCCTTAATTTATTTCTTTTCCTAACAGAATCAACCCACAAGATTCCAAATGTTAGCTAATCACTTGGCTCAAAAGGCATAACCGCATGTTATTCTTGTATGAGCAGAGAGGGCTAAGATCTCTCCCACCAGGAAATTAAAAGAAAGAGAAACTAGGAAAAAAAAACAGAAAAGGGTAGAAAGTTGAAAAACTGTAAACACAATATTGGTATTAAGGAAAAAGTACCTCCAAGTCTTCTTTGATTATAAGTTCCCTTTGACCTTCAGCAAAACTGCTACTCTTATCAAAATCTGCAAGGAGAACTTTATCATCCGCATCTAGCAAAGCAACATGATTTGTTAATAGTAAATTAATGGCTCCTGTGCGGTGTTCCACCTTTCTAGTGTGTGGCTGAATTAACCCTTTGTTCCCTGGAGCAGGGTTACTCAGAGGGATGCCCTGATCCGTCCATATGATGGTAAAGCTGCTGAACTACAGGCTTTGTTGCTGCTGCGATCAGGTTTCCTTTCCCCTTCTGTCTGTTTGTCTGTCTCTGACACACACTATATACTTTGTCTCGCACACATATACATACTAAAGCATCCTTGTACACATGCATAACATCCTTGTTGTGAAAACACACACACTGTGCAAGTCACTGGGTTTGAATCTTATATAATACCCTTATAGCAGGGTGGTTACCCCGCTCCTGCCCTGAAGGGCTTAAAAGAGCCCTGGGAGAGGGCTGTGGCAGGGAAAACAGCTAATGGGCTGATTGGGGAAGCAGCTGCAGCTGGACCACGCCCCAGTCAGGCCTCAACTGGCCCTATATAGGAGGCTTTGAGCCAGGAGCCCAAGCAGTCTCTCTCTCTAGCTGTAGAGGGAGATGGGCCTGGCTGCAGGGAGCTAGAGACAGGGTACCTGGGTGGAACAGGGCTGGGGGAAGGCCAAGGGAGCTGGGGAGCTCCGGCCTGGAAAACCCCAGGCTGTGGCCTAGTCTAAGGCCAACAGGTACTGGGGGTTGCAGAGGGCATCCCACAGGTAGGCAGAGGCAGCAGGTCCAAACCCTCCTTGCCAGTGATGAGTGGCATATACTGCAGTCTTCCCCAGGGAACAGGGGCTAGTTAGTGACTGGCAGTAGCCCATGACTGAGGCAAGGTGAGGATAGAGGGTTGGGGGTTCCCCTGGGTGGGGAGACCCTGAGACTGAGGGGTGTATGGCCAGGGGCAGCACCCCAGGTAACAAGGCACCAGGCCCTGGGAGGGACACGGGGGCCAAGCGGCAGTGGGACACCTGCCTGCAGAGGGCGCTCCAAGGCTGGAAACAAGCTAATTCCCAAGACACCAGCAGGAGGCGCCACAGGGGTGAGTCCCGCACCTTTACAACCCTGCTTTCTAGAATTTCTCACCCAGCCAGGCTGCAAGATTAAATGGAACCGAATGTAAAACACACAAACCTATCAAAATGTTACGTGGGTGCAGGTCCCCATGGCCTAATTCCAAAGAGTGCAGATCTCTCACTGCTTCCAAGAGTGTCTTAAGGATGTTATGATTATTGACTGCCTGTGCAGATTTGCTCAGATGATCCTCAAGGTTGCTCTCACAGAGAGAGAGGCAGAAGAGCTGGCAGTTGCCATGAGTCTCAGTCCCAAAAAGTTTTACCATATGCCTGTTGCTATGGCAGTGACTGAGACACATGGATTCTCGTTTAGCCTTATCACTGCCAAGAAGGAATCTCTTCACAGCCACCTCTTTCCCTGCATGGAATCCCAGGTAGATGCCACCTTCAGAGGTGCTCTCAATGCAGTAATACTCATCAAATATGATGTTGAGTTTTCCGATCTGAGGGGAATTTATACTGTGAAGACGCCATAGTTGCTCTCCCCAGCGTTTGCTGGTGGGTTCCCACTCTCTAGGAGGCTGATTATTAGTAGCCGTAGCACCGTATTTGAGCAGCAGCGCCACCATTTCATTGTTGTAGTTCTCTTTGGCCGCAGAAATGTCATTACAATCAGCCCTGGCTCCGTTCTCACATAACAGCTTGGCTATTTCCTCATGGTCGTACTCCACCGCTATCTTCAGTGCTGTTTTGCCATCATTGCCCATGGCGTTAATGTCAACTTTGCCTGTCTTCAGTAACAATTCCACCAAATCCTGACTTTGCCTCTCTGCTGCCAGGATGAGCGAAGTCTTCCCATTTTCATCTCTTCCAGTAACATCAGCGCCACAGTCCAGCAGAAAGGAGACTATTTGTTCTATATTCTTGTTTTGTCTACGTATGGTGTTCCTCTTCAGAGGCAGCCGTAATGCATGGATCAAAGCGTTCCTGCCAAAGTTATCACAGGCATGCACGCTGGCTCTCATCTCTTTCACGAGGGTTTTCACAGCTGAGAGGTGGCCATTCCTGGCAGCATCCATCAGGGCTGTTTCTCCGCCTTTGTACACTTGTCTTTGTTGTGTACTGACCATCCGGCCCAAATTCACATCCATCTCTTTCTCATCCGAGAAATTCTCATACAAGAATTTCAAGGCCTTCTCCTTCCCATACCAAGCAGCCTCCATAAAGGCCGTGAAGCCGTTGTTATCCTTCTCATTTATTTCTGACCCCTTAGAAAGGAAGAGCTCCAAAAGGCTCACATTCCCCACTATGCCTGCTATAATAAAGGGCGTGGCACCATTGTCCTTTCTGGCACGTGGATCAGCACCCTGCTCCAGCAGAAGGTTAACAATCTCTTCCTGATCAGCCTGTACAGCACTGTGCAGAGGTGTCCAACCACCTTCTACCTTGGAATTGACATCTGCACCTTCCTCCAACAGCTGCCGGACTGTCTTTACTGAACCTTTTTTGATAGCATCATGTAACTGAGACACTGTGGCTGCTGCTGTTCCATTTCTGCAGCCGTTTGGTGCCGCCGGCTGGCTGTTGCCTGTGGCCTCCATGAACGCTAAATCAGTGGCTGTGCACTTTGCGCCTCTTTGTCCCTTTCATGAGCAGTTTTTAGAACAAAATTTATTTCCCATACAATCGAGCTGGGAAGAAGGGCGTGGATCTACATCTGCCTTTGATGAGAGCAGCACACAGTGCTTCACTGTGCAGTCCTGAAGATTCCCTCAGGAGTTTTTTTCAGCTATTTCACCTGGTTAACAGAAAAAGTAGCATCTCCTGTTAATTTAATCCCAGAGTTTACAGTTGCAATAAGTGTTCTTTTGAGCCATCCCCACTCTACTCCCCTCCCCTGTTCTCCAACTTATAATTATAATGAATTCATGGGAACAGAGTGGGAGATCATGTTTTCTAAGGGACTAAGATGAATACTATTAAACTCATTTTCTTAATCCTGGATTAGTGCCCAAATCCCAAGAGGTGAAAATCTACTGTGCATTAAAATGCTGTATTATGTAACCCCCTAAATGGATAGATCAATACATTCAGAGGGAGTGTGGCGTTGTCCCTTGCTCTCGAGTGGGGAGGGAGGCCACTCCGCCTTACTACAGGCAGACGGCAAGTTTATACTCTGGACCTCTGGGCAGGGCAGAGCCACAGCCAGTCTTTAGCCTGCAGTTGCCTGGCTGGGGCCGACAGCAAGGAACAGTCTGGGGGACGGGGAGCTCTGGCCCTGTGGTGGGCAGGGCAGAGCCACAAACAGTCCTTAGCCCAGCACCTTCTGTCCGGGGCAGACAGGAAGTAACAGTCTATGAAGGAGCTCTGGCCAGCTGGGTGGCTAAGTTCCCTGTAAACTGCGCGGCTGCACAGCAGCCTATTTAGCACCGTGCAGGTACTCAGGGAACCAGCCCTGGCCTGGACTTGCAGCAGCTGGGACGCCCTTCCCCTGGCCCCATCTCAGCCCCGGACCTGCTGTGACTGGGGAAGGGGGACTTATCCCCAGCCCCTCTCCCTGCTGTACCCCAAACCCCTCATCCCTGGCCCCACCCCAGAGCCCACAACCCCAGCTGGAGCCCTCAGCCTCTGCACCCCAACCCTCTGCCCCAGCCTGGAGCCCCTCATGCCCGGCTCCACCCAAGAGCCCTCATCCCAATCCCCTATCCCAGCCCTGAGCCCCTGATCCCCAGCCCCATGCCAGAGCTTGCACCCCCAGCCGGAGCCCTCACACCCCTGCACCCCAAGCCTCTGTCCCAGCCCTGAGCCTCCTCCCACACTCCGAACCCCTTGGCATAACCTCCGAACCCCTTGCACATAACAAAATTCATTCCGCACACGTGTAGGAAAAATTAGAGGGAACACTGCTGGGTGGGCAGAGCAGGGAGCATGCTTTTACCTAAGCCTCCTGGCTAAGGCAGCCAGAAAACACAGTCTCTAAGGCAGGGGTAGTCAGTAGGCAGACCACAGTCCGAATCTGGACAGCCAGATACTTTTCAGTGGACACTGGGGGCAGAGGTGACCTGTGGGCAGGGCACGCAGGGTCATATGCCCTCCCCCCCACACATTTCTCCGACACCTCTGGCAGCTGTGCTCTCAGTGTGTCAGTGCAGTGTGGGGAGGGAGCATGGCAGCTGGCTGAGCTCCTCCTCTCCCCCCCCCCCCATATGGGGCTGCTTCCTCTTTCCTGTAGCTGGAGCTCCAGCACTGCTGTCTACTTCGCAAACCATCCAGACCAGTGTGTGTGGGGAGGGGGGGACACCTCTCAAGGGGGAGGGAGAGGGAACAGGGCACGGGCCAGCCCCTGGCGCAGAGATCGGAGTGGGGACAGGGCACGGGCCAACCCCTCAGAAGGGGTGGGGGGAAACAGGGCACGGACCAGCGCCATGCGCAGTGTTCCCTTTTTCCTTTTGGAAATATAGTCACACTGCGGTGGGGGTGGGGGTCACACGACCCTCCAGAACCTTTCATCTGTGCCCCCCACCCACACACTAGCCACAGCTAATGCCGCCTCTGCATGCAGGCTGAAGCTGAGCTGGGGCTGGAGCATGTGGATCCATGCTTGTGCTCTGAGTGGTCCCCGGAGTCGACCTGTCCCACCCTAGCCTCGTGCCCCCCACCCACGAGCAGTCCCTGGAGCCTGCCCACCTACCCTGTTCTCGCACCCCTGAGCTATCCCCGCCATAGGCGCCGATTCCGTGGGTACTTCAGGGCTGGAGCACCCATGGGGAAAAAATGGTGGGTGCTGAGCACCCACCGGCAGCCCCTCTATCAGCACCTCCCCCACCCCCAGCACCTCCTGACCACCGGCGGGCCCCGCAGATCAACGCCTCCCCCTCCTTCCCAGCACCTCCCGCCTGCCATGATCAGCTGTTTTGCGGCGTACAGGAGGCTCTGGGGGAGAGGGGGAGGAGCAAGGATGCAGCAAGCTAGTGGGAGGGGGCAGCTGGACGGGAAGAGGCGGGGTGGGGGTGGAGCGGGGATGGGGGCAGGAAGAGGCAGGGCGGGGCCTTGGGGGAAGGGGTGGAGTGGGGACAGGGCCTGGGGCAGAGCCAGGGGTCAAACACCCCCTGGCACTTTGGAAAGTTGGCACCTGTGGTCCCCGCAGCCCCCCCACCCTGGAATCATGTCCTCTCCAGCCCCCATACCCAGCCCCAATCGGCCTCTTTCCCTCCAGAGTCCACCTCCAGTCACCTACTTCTGCCTCCCGCTATCTCCCCAGGGCTGCTATTGGAGTCTCCTTGGTCCCGCCTGCTACCCAGAGCCTCCTTCCTGCCCCTCTGCTATCCCAGCCCCAAAAGGGGCATCGCACTGCTGGCTGGATCATAGTCCAACAGCTTCACCTCCTAGCTACGAGCTCAAAGGTACTCACATGTTCACACCCTGCTTCGCTGCCCAGATCCCAGCCCATACCCATCCTCCCACCCCATCTCTGCTACTTGGCTCAATTGGGGGCACAGAGGAACATTGCGGCGGGGGGGGAGGGCAAGCAGCAACACCAGATGACTCCAGCCAGCCCCGTGCATCCTGTTTTCAGTTGAGGGAAATAAGGTCACCTAACTCTCCGGGCAGGGCGGGTGGGGACCTGATAGGTAATCGGGAGCTTGTAGGGATAATTGGGGGTTAAGGGAGGAGAACTGGGGGGTTGGTCTGGAGTGGACCCTGACTATTCCTTGACCAAGAAATTTGGACCTTGACAAAAAATAATTGACTACTCCTGCTCAAAGGGCTCTGGGCAGGGTGGCTCAGAGCAGTGAGCAGACTTCTGCCAAGGCCTCCTGGCTAAAGCAGCCTGCAAGCAAACAGTCTGGAGCCCGCAGACTCCTGTCTGGGACAGACCACAAGCAACACACAGGCCCAGGGGTGGGGTTGGCAGCAGGGGGCAAAGAGTCCTGGGCCCACCCTACTCCACCAGCTCCCAGCCCAAGGGGCTAACAGTGGTGGATGGGTGTGCCACTGGGTCAGCGAGGGTCCGCCCACAACACGCTGACTCTCACTCTGGCAGCAGAATGGGATTAGAGTCTGGTCCCCCAAGCTACTTCCTACCACAATCTGGGTGTAGGGCCCCGTGGTCCAAAGATCCTTGTCTCCTCCGAGTACTCGGCCGCTGGCAGCTCTGGCAGCTCCTCGGGGGCCTTGTCTGCCTCCCCTAACTGCAAGGCATCGGTCCACTCGGGGGCTGGGCCAGGATCTTTCAAAGGCTCCCTAGAAGCCACATCCGTTCCCTCCCATGACTCAGCAACAACTGAGTTCCAGGGCTCTCCTTTTCCTGGCTCTCTTGTAGAGCGGGAGGAGGATGGATTTGGCTCCGCCCACTCCTCCTCACTACAGAGTGTTGCAGACATAGGAGTACACTGAACAGCAATGATTTTTTACATTAATCTAGGGCATGGGGAGCCCTCCCCTTTGACACCTTAGCCCGAGGAGCCCTACCTCTGCAGCCCTATCCCTTTCTAGAGAAACCCTACCCTTTGGAACCCTAGCACTAGCCTGGGGAGCCCTCCCCTCAGGAACCCTGACCCTATCCTGAGAAGCCCTAAAATTTGGGACCCTGACCTACCAGGGGCAGTGAGTTATATGGACCCGTGGTGCCCGTGCTCCAACAATATTCAGGGCCCGGGGGCCCAGCTCCACCAATGTTCAGGGCCAAGTCTCTTCCCCGGCCCCATCTGCCGCCCCCATGTGCCCGCCCGTGCGTCCCTGCCTGCGCCCTGGGCAGCTGCCCCCGCAGCTCTGCACTGTGCTCTGCCCTGCCGGCTCGCAGCATCAACTGCCGCCGCAGGCTCCTAGCGCCCCCCAACCACTAGTGCCAGGGCAGGCTGACCCAGCCTGCCCCTGCCCCTGCCCTTCCGCCTCAGACGGATGGACCCTTCCCTTTTCCGGCAAGACCCTCCACCAGCACTGGGGGCCCCCTCGCCCGCAGCCACCACTCCTGCCCCACACTGGGCAAGGGGCAGCCCCATCCCCGAGTGAGGCTACAATGACGGGCAGCAACAGGGGAGGAAGCGCACACGTGATGGCAGCCCCCCCCACACACACACACACCAAAAGGGAGGTGAGGGGGCTTTCTGGACATGAGAGGGGCCCTAGGAGTATGTGCAGTAACAATGGTGCAAGGTGAGTGTGCTGCCGGGGAGGGAAGGGCGGGCCTTCCCCCGGAGCTCGCTGGTGCCGGCGGGGGGAGGGCTGGGGGGAGTCCTCCTCTCTGGCCCCAACCAGGGGCAGCCTGCCAGCACCCCAAACTCCTCATCCCCAGCCCCACCCCAGAGCCCGCACCCCCAGCCTGCACCCCAACCCTCTGCCCGAGCCCCTCCCACATGCCAAACCCCTCATCTCCAGCCCCACCCCAGAGCCCTCACATTTTTACATGATTTAAAAAATATATATATCAGCTTACAAGGCAGGTGGGGGGAGGGGCGGGACTTGAACCCGTTCTGGGCACCACCAAAAATTATACAAACCTGGCTGGCCATGTGACTACGCCCTCCCCTTTGGAATCGTAACCCTATTCAGAGAAATCCTACCCTTTTGAACCCTCACCCTAGCCCGGGGAGCCCTCCCCTCTGGAACCGTAACCCTAGCAATCAGAGCCCTCCCCTTTGAAACCCTATCCCAAGAAATCATACCATGAAGAACACCAACTCTAGCCCTGAAAGCCCCTTCCTCTGCAACTAGTACCCTAGTTCGGGAAGACCTACAATTTAGAACCTTATCCCTATCCAGGAAGCCCTACCATTTGGAACCCTAACCCTCAG